ACTTTTAACATCCTACGTAATAAGATATGGTCTTTCTTCAGTAGCCCGGGAAAAACTAAGGGGGAACAATAGAGAATAATAGGCAGAATGCGATAGTTAACGAATTGTAGGAGTAAGGGTTGGGTTGAGTTATACCAGAATATCTTAACTTCTTGATGTAGAAGATAAGATGGAATATTTTCTTAGAATTCGTCAAGATATGAGACGATCAGGAGAGATCAGCAGGTAGAATGACGCCTAGGTATTTAATTTCCGAATTGGCCTCCATTTCAGTGCCATCTATGTTGCATACCTCGTGAGAGCCAACCATTTTGTTTAGGTCGGATTTATGCCTGAAGGTGAAATTGACTGTTTGACGTTTAGAGGGGTTTAAGGTAATACCGTTTTCTTCGGACTACTGGCTGATTTCTGATAGAAAGCCATTTAGTTTGGATCAGTCACTTTGACATTTGATAGGCAAAGATACAGTCAGATCGTCAGCATATTTAACAAAATTAATGTCATTTGAAGATGGTAAGTCATGAAGAAAGAAAGAAAAGAGAAGTGGGGGGAGTACAGCACCTTGGGGGACACCAGCTTCAGTGAGCAGAGCAGAGGAAGATTTACCTTTGGTTAAGTTAAAAAAATAATTTCTACTCCACTAATGCTGAATGGTGCTTGTTGTTGTTGTTGTTGTAGGTTGGTGTATCTCCATCATCTGTCTTCGCTATGTTCACTTGAAGTCCTGTCTTCTCTGCCTACTTCTGTCAACTTGTGTATACTCAGTTTTCACCCATATGATTTATCACTATTCATGCATAGGAAACACAGTAGATCCGCAGCATGATTACTAGTAGCTTTGAGCTTGGACTATGTTAGGTAACGTCTCGGCTAGTGACGTACGCGGTGTCTCGTCAATGTCCGCAAACTCAGCTGAACTGTTCTCCACTTCGCTCTACTTCATCTAGTTATAAAGCCGTCAAATACAAATAAGTGGTAACTGAAAGCATTTGCAATCGGCTGCAGACAGTCATCAATATTTATTTGCCTTCGGATGATACCGGAGATTATATGGCCGACCACAAGGGATAATCAATAAGAAGCTTGGCACCGTACCAGCTAAGAAGCTAATTACCAACAAATATGAACTAGATTTACATAAAAGGAGAATCTCCAATTCGCTGAAGAAGACTTTTCCGGCAGCAACTCTAAGAGTGATATTCTACAGCCGCCCACTACTTCGGAGCAATGAGAAGGACAAACTTCCACATACGACCACTTCAGTGTGCGTACATCAGTTCACCTGCTCTTGCGGAGCTAGGGACACAGGTCGTTCTATGCGGGTCTTATCAAAAGTGTTAGAGAACATCATCAAGCATGGCTGCAAATAGGAGGCACTGGTTCAATCAGAAGCGCAATAAGTGAACACCTCATCAATACCTGTCACAGAATCTCAACTGACTCACCATTCAGAGTTATTTACAAAGTCAGCAGAAACCTCCCTAAAGCAGCATGTTTCCGACTTTCCTGTACTGCAGAAGCCCTCTCAATATGCATCGAAAAGCCGGAGCTAGTCCAATTTTTACAACTACCATGGACCTAGTTCGGTATGTTCCCTTATCCTTCAGTTTTTTAATGTTTTGTTTTCTGTGTGTGTAATTTTCAATTTTTTCAGTTCCCATGCTCCTCCTGATCACACCTGTAATCTGTTTAGAATAACCATTTTACAATTATATTCTAATCCTGTGTAATTTTTTGTTTCTATGCCTGTTGTAATCTATATTCACCCACACACACCTCCTAACTTACATTTCAAGTTGAAAATTTTCATTTCAATTTGTTTCCATGCTCATTTTGTTCACACCTGTAATTCTTTCTATCCCTGCGTAACTTACGTCTCTAAGCCTCTTGTAATCCATATCAAGTTGAAAATAATTATCACCTTTTATTCGCCTTTAAAACTATTATTTCTCCAGTTATCAAATATTAATTTTACACACGTTGTAACTGTTATCTAATCCTAGGCAATCTTGTCTCTAAGCCCTTTGTAATCTTCTATATTCGTACCTTCAAACTTTCATATCAAGTTGGTAAATAATTATCCCCTTCATAACTATGTGGAATTAATTAAACAAATAATAATTGTATCCATGTAAACTAATCTAGATAAATGCTATTGTACAGCTGCTTTTGAGAATGAAATCTCCCAAAAAAGATCGCCATCTCTGCTGAATTTCTTGTTCTTTTCAACATAAAGAAGAAATCGTGCCGAACGTCATTAGATGACCCGTATGATAAACAACGAGTTGTGCCCATCCAAGGATGACATGACGAATGAATGACATTTGGAACCGAAGCCTGTTGATTTTCTACTCGAAAGCTAAGGGACGATTAATATTAATAATAATAATAATACTTCCTACATTTGCTGCCTGAGTGAAGCAATTAAAGTAAGCATTATTCCATTATCATTTGAAAGGTTTAAATAATATTATCACTCAACTTACTATTTGCATCAGTTAATTAAAAAAACTCATAAGCCGGAGAGAGTACGAAAAGAGCTAAATATTGATTGGACACTGGTAACTACTGTGATGTGTCTAATCCTTTGTTTGTTGCAGACTGAATTCTATCAGTCAGTCAGTCAGGTTTGCAATGTGGCCACCATTCTACGAAGCTCGCCATCACAGTGTACATTGATTTGATGATATTAGATGGTTGGAGGTGATCGGCAGAAAGCCCTACCTAGATTTAGGTTTCGTGCTAGTTGGCACTCACCCACCATCAGTCAGCAAGGCGTATCTGCAAACAAACCGAAGAAACTCTCTCTTTCTCTTTGACAAAAATTGAGTCCTGGGTCACTAACTGGCTGCATTCCTACATCCCTAACAGAATGTAGCACACCGTATACAAAGGTAAATCCTCCTCTGCTGTACTCACTGAAGCTGGTGTCCCCGAAGGTGCTGTAATCTCCCCACTTCTCTTTTCTTTCTTTCTACATGAATTACCATCTTCAAATGACATCAGTTTTGTCAAATATGCTGACGATCTGACTGTATCTTTGCCTATCAAATGTCAAAGTGACTGATCCAAACTAAATGGCTTTTTATCAGAAATCAGTCAGTGGTCCAAGGAAAACGGTCTTACCTTAAACCCCTCAAAATGCCAAACTGTCAATTTCACCTTTAGACGCATAAATCCGACCTAAACAAAATGGTTGGCTCTCATGAGGTGTGCAACATAGATGGCACTGAAATACAGACCAATTCGGAAATTAAATACCTAGGCGTCATTCTATCTGCTGATCCTTCCTGGCCGTCTCATATCTTGACGATTTCTAAGGAAATATTCCGTCTTACCTTCTACATCAAGAAGTTAAAACATTCTGGTATAACCCAACCCAACCCTTACTCCTACAATTCGTTAACTATCGCATTCTGCCTATTATTCTCTATTGTTTCCCCTTAGTTTTTCCCGGGCTACTGAAGAAAGACTAAAACATATTACGCAGGATGTTAAAGGTTGTCATTAGGGTAAGCAATGTACCACTTGACCAGCTTGTCAATATTCTGGTTGACAGGCAGGCACTTGGACTCATGTGAAAAATGGGCTGAATCCATTCTATCTAACTCACACCACCCTCTTCACTCACAACCCTCCCCTTGTATCTCATCAGGCAGGACCAGAAGCCTATATAGAAAACTATATGCTCGCACCAGCAAGTACAAAACTCAACCATACCCTACTTAGCTCGTGTTCTGTGTGATAAAGAAAGCATTAGGCGTGACACCTATAATTCATTAAATAGTCAGTAGTACAATTGGATCTCGTCTTTCCAACTCATATCATTTATAGGTACTAAACTTTCTTTCTTTCTTTTCCTATTCTCTCTCTCTCTTTTCCGTTATGTGCTACATGTTTCTTTCTTCTGCTTACGCCAGTAAATATGACAGCTCCTTCTTTTCTAACACCTTCAAACACTGTTCAGCTTTACTTTTGCTACCGACATGCCAATATGTTGTTGTCATAATGAACTGAGATTTCCTTAATCTATGTAGAATTTTATTTATTGATAATGTACTAACTGGATGCGCAATACTGTAGTGAAATGCTGAGAATTCCATTCTGTATCACAAGTACTGTTTTGGAATAAAGCTAATTATTATTATGTCTCTTCTGAGACTCGAACCCGCGTCAGATCAATGTGCACCGTGATGGTGAGCTACGTAGAATGGTGGCCACATTGCAAACCTGACTGACTGATAGAATGAATTCAGTCTGCACCAAAGAAAGGACTAGACACATCACACTAGTTACTAGTGTACAATCAAAGTAGTGGCCTTGTAACTAAATAATACGATTTATACTTCACAGAAATCCTAAGATTTCCTTAGACATACATTCATTTCATATTGCCATGTCTTTTTGGTATTTGTAATGTTACAGATTTCTGTCTTGAAAATAATAATACAGGGCCTTCTGTGAATGTCGCACAATTCCCCCCCTTAATTAATATCTAAAGATTGAATATACTTTTCAAAGTGTGGAAACATCCATCCTACCATTCACATGAAACAGCCTACTTACTACTTACCTACATAGCAAGTAAAATCGATAAATCCTAATCAATAATTCATTTATAAATAATTAACTAATCAATACCTGTATAGACTTTTCAAAACAAAACTAGGTAAAATAATAAGACGAGTTACAAGCACAAATGATTAAAGTAGATGCGAGGAATTAGACGGAGTAGTCAAGCTGAAGAACGATAGATAGGAAGAGACAAAGTGAACAAAATATATACTCATACATGTAATCATTGTTTTTCCCAGAAAAGGAAGTTAACATAGAGACTAGAACACGAAAAAGCATTACACAACATTCATCATATATATATATATTCCTTCTCTACTGGAATACAAAGGAATAAAAAAGTTGGAAATTAATCAAATTACCAATAAAAATATACACATAAATATTACGCATTTTGCATTGTCTTTGGTCATTCTGATTAAAAAATGTTAACAGACGAAGAAATTAAACAAAAGCAGGTAAGTGAAAATGAATTTCACGACAGTAATTTTCTCACCTGATTTGCTGTCATAAACCCTAGCTAGCTATGGTTCTTTTCTACTTCAGTCAGCTGTGTGTATCCCGGAAATGTCTTTTGTCTTTCCTGGCATTCTTCTTCACTTCTTTATTCAGTGTGAACTCAGCCTCTCCTTCTGGTGTCCATCTTTGCATTGGTTTATCATTTGTTTCACCATCCTCCTCTCTCTCTTCTATTAGCCTCCAAGTGTCCTTTGGCTGGCTGCCATTGTTTTCCTTCTCTCCTCTTTCTTCCCAAAAACGGTTTCACACGTTTCCTAGAACATCGCCTTCAGAGTGTTCCAATGTTCCTCCTCCTTTACACAAGTTTCCTAAGTGGTGCAACGTAGTGTCTCTAGACTGTGCTCTGCAATGGCTGCAATTAAAGTTTCCCTTGTAGTTTTGTCCTTCAGTTTCTGAGTGTTGAAAGTAAAAATGGTGATCTGTCTCCAGCTGTTCTAAAGGATTTCAGCTTCACCTTGAATGTTCCTTGAACTAGATAGTGGTCTGAGCCCATATCTATTCCCCTTCTCGAATTTGTGTCCACCAGGTTGCGTGTCCTTCGAAGTGAGGACGGGAGTAAGACAAGCTGGCTGCCTACTATCGCCAATGATTTTCCTGATTGCAGTAGACTGAATAATGCGACAGACAGCGGGCAATGGGGAAACAGGCATAAAATGGACTCACACAAAAAACTTGGAGGATCTGCACTTCGCTGATGATATATGTCTGATTTCCCACAAACTGGAAGATATGCAAGTGAAAAGTAACAAGTTCGCAGAAGAAGCATCAAAGATAGGACTTCAGGTGAACATAGAGAAAACAGAGGTGATGAAGATTCCTGGGTAACACCAACAACAGCAACAGCAACAACAGACAACAATCAGCCAGCATAAATGGGAGAAACCTGAAAGAAACAACCTCGTTTACCTACCCACCTAACTGGGAAGCATCGTTTCAACTACAGCTGGGTGGAACTGACGAGGATATCAAAGCAGCGAGGATCGGTAAAGCAAGACAAGCTTTCACTACTCTCAAGTCTGTGTGGAGGTCAACAGACAGCACTCAGCATGAAAATGAAGATGAGATCCGGATTTTCAACTCCAATGTGAAATCAGTCAGTGCTACTCACTACACGGATCAGAGACTTGCACTGCGCCTCATAAAGAGCATCTCAAACAAACCACGGACCTTCATCAACAGTTTTCAATACCACTCAAGATCAGATGGCCGGCCAGACAGAAAAGATCAGCAACAGGGTGGGATCTCTGGCAATGAGCGAACCAACACAGCAGAAACCAATTGTGAAACAAATAGGAAGGAAGAAATGGAGATGGATTGGCAGGCCATACTCTGATAAAACAAACCATCAAGTGAGTGACATCACTAGACAAGCCATTGCTCGAGTGAAACCCGATCGAAGGAGAAGTGGCGAGTTGATGGTCAGTGTGAGGGTGAGGGTGACTTGGAGGAGGTCACGTGAAGAGGAGATGAAAACGTGTGGGCAGGCATGGAGCCAGGTGAAGACTCCAGCAGAAAACAGAACGCAATGGTGACGCGTGGCTGAAGCCCTATGTTCCTCTAGGAATTAAAGGATACAATAATAATAGGTTGCGTGTCCACTCTCTTTTAACTTAGATGAAGTCTTTCAGATTTCTGGTGTGCCCATCAAATGAAACCCATATTGGTTTTTTTATAAACGATGTGCTGGTGCACACTGTCTACGATCGCCAGGTCAATAAAGGCACAGAAGTCTATGAAGAGGTCTCCGTTATCATTCATTCCGCCAAGTGAGAGCCTCCTGACCCATGATGATTCCTCTTCTTCAGTTTTCTGCTCCCAGCTTAGTTTTCATATCATCCATAAGGATTTTGATGTCACCATTTAGGACCTTACCTATTACTATTCGCAACTGTCTTTGATATTTTTCCTCTTCTATTGTTCCGATTTGTTTTTAGCATTGGTTAATTGCAGCCTTCTTTCCTTTTCAGTCGAATCTTTCTGTAATTCTCTTGGAGGAAACTGATCCCCAGTGCATATGAGCTTTGCCGTCGATGAAATTATGATAGCTACTCCCTCAGTGTGTTTTCGGTTGTCATCTGGCTGGCTGGAGTAGATTACTGACTCTCCAGTGGACAATTTGCCTGGTCCACATTCATTCGGTTCGCTCTCGCAGATTGTTAGCACTTCTATGCTTCATTTTCTCATTTCTTTGTTTACTTGGGTAGCCTTGTCAGCTTCGTGCATTCCGATGTGCCAATGCTTATTTTGGCTTTCATGCAAAGGAGATACATCATTTGAGTGGTTTCTCGAAGGCTTTAACAAGCCTGCTTCATTCCGTCTCTTTGATTCCAACGAAGACTTAGTTTATTTTTTAAATACCTTTGTTGTGATTTGAAGTCTGTGTAGCGATTTGATTGACTTTTCGAGGATAGGGTCGCTAGACCCATGCACAATCTCCCCTCTTTTCCAGGGTTTAAAACCGGCTAGAAAACTTCCAATTTAGTAAACTAGGTGAGGTTGAGATAAGAAGAAATTCAAGCATAAAATATATTCGAATGGTTCTGTTTTCTGATCTTTCTTGGTTACCCAATGTTCTGTCCCAATGAAAGTGTTTCGTCTAACCCTCACTCATCCTCTACTTTTACACTTTGTTAGCTTTTGCGCCTCACGTATTGATCTTTATTACTCCTGCGTACTCTTTTCTGGGCTATTCAAAAATTACTATACTATGTTCCTAAGATTAACAAAGATTGTCACTATGGCGAGTAGTGTGCCACTAAGTGCCAGGTCATTACTGATGTAGTCGACGGGCATCTGAATTTGTGTGAGAATTGGGCAAAAGACATATTGTCTGGTTCTGAGTACACTTTTTATTCCCAACTCTCCCCGCAGCTTGAGTATCATCAGTTAGAACTGTAAGCCCCTATAAGGGATTATATTCTCGGAAAACAGAGTACAAAAACTCATCAATACCTCATTTTGTCCTCATTATATGCAATGCTGGATGTGTTAAGCGTGAAAAATTATAACAGCTTACTCAGTAATAAGCAAACTGAATGGCTCTCTTGTCTTCTCTTATTTGTAATTTATGGTGACACTATTGCAACTAGTGTATTATGTCTCGTCAGTGGTAAAGTCTCTGACTGCAGCACTGGGTGACACGGGTTTGAGTCTCAGCATGGATATGAACTGTTCCTTCAGTGTGGTTGCAGATACGCCTTGTTGACTGACTGGTGGGTGAGTGCCAACTAGCACGAAACCTAAGTCTAGGTTCAAAATTTAACAAACTCGTATGATAAATTCTCTGGGTTTTTTCCGAATTTAACGAATATTCATAGGGATCTTAAACATGCATGAAAGGGATCGTAGAAGATAACAGTTTATCACCGCTTTTTCACTAGGTATACGAAATAAAACGTAACTGAAGGTAGACTAAATTAGCACGTCATTTCGAAATTTAGTGTTATGGCTTACTAAAATTCCCTATAATCAATGGACAAAACCATGAGTAATATAAAGAACTCAGGTTAAAAAGCAAGTATGTGAAGTAGGGAACGGAAAATAAGAAATGTAAATAGTGTAATGTGTCTAGTCCCATCTTCGGTGCAGACTGAATTCTCTCAGCCATGCTTGCAATGTAGTAACGTCTCTGACTATAGCACTAGGTGACGCGGGTTCAAATCTCAGAAGGGACATGAGTTCTTTCAAGGTGGTTGCAGATACGCCTTGCTGATGAGTGCCAACTAGCACGAAACCTAGGTCAGGCGAGGCTTCCTGCCGACTGCCTCCAACCACCTAATACCAAAGTTTCATTGTAGCTTCTATTTACTAATCAGATGAACTATATCTTGAGGTTCGATTAGTTGTTTTGATATTTTGACACTGATTTTCAATAGCCATCTAAGTCAGCATAACTTTTGTTCTGCTACGGTTGTTGTTCTTTACTTTCACTATTGTGTCACCCTGGTCTTCTGAGTGGAATATGAGGCTTCAGCAGCACAAAGCCATTTCACTCAGTTCTCTACAGTTTTCGAAAGCCAACTTCACAATTGACCATGAGTTTCCGTTCGCTTTACAAACTATCTCCTTCATATCACCCTTGAGCGTCAAACTCGTCGTTTCTTATTCAGGTTTTTGATCTTCTCTGTGTACATTCATTCCATCCAGCTCCATTCATTTCGGCATATTTGTTCGGAGACAGGTTTTCGCTTGCTTTACTTTTTGACAAAAGTTCCTTGATGCTTATCTTTTCCAACAGGTTGTATGACCTTCGATGTCGAGTGAATACCGCTCTTAATGAAGGTCTGCAGCAAGTTGTACAACGTCTGCGAAGCCCTTGAGACATTGTTGAAAATTCCTCGGGAAATCGTAAACATTTAATAACTAAAAATGCTTTTGCTATGTTGTTTTTTTTAAATTAGCTCTCATAAAGCGTAGGAAACTAAAATTATACAATTCTTTTTTGTATATTTAATCAATCAGTGTGGGTTTAATCTTTGTAAGGCTGAACAGTAGTTACCTTGATGATGCCACAGAGGCATATAAGTACTGTCAATGAAGGCTGGTGTTTCCTTGTACAGAATCAAGTTCAAGCAAACTTTGCAATTTTCTGTTCTGACCATGTTGGTTTACACACATACGCATGTGAAAATTTATTATCTTACTGAATTAGTAATAAATATTTCTAAAGTGGGTAGTTAAATGCTCTGGACAAATCGATGAGTTCCTTGGTCTGTATACTGGACTTGCATAGCGTAAATAGCTGAAATTCTGAAGTGGGACTTTCTCTCGACTATTTTATTGTCTTTTAAAACAATTAGTTCCCTTTACAAATTTAGATAAAGCAATAAGAAGACGTAATTTGTCTGAATCGTGTAATGTATTTGCGCAGAACCCATTAATGGTGAGAACAGGAGACCTAGCTCCTCTATTGCGAAACATATTACAGAAGAGAAAGGACATAAAATTGACGTTAACACATCTTTTAAACCTATCTATAAAACGTGTTCAGTGAAGGTCGTATCCTAAAGTTTGTGGAAGCCCTAGCTGGCAATCAGAAAGTTTAAGCCACCTTTATGCGTTCAATAAAAAATTCGTCATCACATTAAACCTTCATTGGTACATTTTGTTTTGATGCCAGTCAGGGTAGATGTACTATTACCTCTGTTATTTGGTTTAGTGGTCTTAATTGTTACTTTGAGCTTGAATATGTCCTTTTAACTTGACCTAAGTCTATTTTCTCACCTCTTATCTCTTTATAAATTTCATATATATGTACTCCTATGACAAGTCTGTGTGTGTGATCAGACTGTTCGAAATGTTTTGCGCAAATACATTACACGATTCAGACAAATTACGTCTTCCTTCTTATTGCTTTATTTTATTATCATTATATTTGGTGTGAGGTATGAAATGAGGCTCGGCTGCCATCGCATACCCGGCCATTCATATAGACAGTTATGCAGAGAAGGAAATTAAGGCTTGTCGGTGCTTCTACAGCCAACTGAAATTTGAAAAAACAACAACAGAGAACTGAATGAAGCAGAGATGTTCTACTGAAGTTCCACGGCCCACTGTGAACAAATAATAATAATATGGTGTAGGTGAAGTGATGTTAATTTGTAGCTGCACCTTGAAATTGGCTTTTCAATGCACTAAACCAGTAGTTAGTGAGAACTGAAGCATTTAAAACCATAAAAGTGATGTTGGCATCAACTGTTTAGTTCGCCAAATACGTCCGCTGCACGTTTGTCGACTTCACTTCTACTTTCGACTCTGTACCTAGATGTCTCCTGCTAAATAAGCTATCTTTGACAAAAACTGAGTCCTGGGTCACTAACTGGCTGCATTCCTACATCCCTAACAGAAAGCAGTACACCGTATAGAAAAGTAAATCCTCCTCTGCTGTAATCACTGAAGCTGGTGTCCCCCAAGGTGCTGTACTCTCCCCTCCTCTTTTTTCTTCCTTTCTTTCTTCATGACTTACCATCTTCAAATGACATCAGTTTTGTTAAATATGCTGACGATCTGACTGTATCTTTGCCTCTCAAGTGTCAAAGCGACTGCTCTAAACTAAATAGCTTTCTATCAGAAATCAGCGAGTGATCTAAGGAAAACGGTATTACCTTACATCCCTCAAAACGTTAAACAGTCAATTTCACCTTGAGGCATAAATCCGACCTAAACAAAGTGGTTGGCTCTCACGAGGTGTGCAACATAGATGGCACTGAAATGAAGAGCAATTCACAAATTAAATATCTTGGCGTCATTCTATCTGCTGATCCTTCCTGGCCGTCTCATATCTTGACGATTTCTAAGGAAATATTCCGCCTTACCTTCTACATCAAGAAGTTAAAACATTCTGGTATAACCCAACCCAACCCTTACTCCTACAATTCGTTAAATCTCGCATTCTGCCTATTATTCTCTATTGTTTCCCCTTAGTTTTTCCCGGGCTACTGAAGAAAGACTATAACATATTACGCAGGATGTTAAAGGTTGTCTGCAGGGTAAGCAACGTGACACTTAACCAGCTGGTTAATATTCTGGTTGACAGGCGGGCACTTGGACTCATGTGAAAAATGGGCTGAATCCATTCTATCTAACTCACACCACCCTCTTCATTCACAACTCTCCCCTTGTATCTCATCAGGCGGGACCAGAAGCCTATATATAGAAAACTATATGCTCGCACCAGCAAGTACAAAAACTCAACCATACCCTACTTAGCTCGTGTTCTGTGCGATAAAGAAAGCATTAGGCGTGACACCTATAATTCATTGAATAGTCAGGAGTACAACTGGATCTCGTCTTTCCAACTCATATCATTTATAGGTACAATATTTTCTTTCTTTCATTTCCTTTCCTCTCTCTCTCTTTTTCTCTTTCTTTCCGTTATTTGCTGCTTTGTTTCTTTCTCTCGCTTACGCCAGTAAATATGACAGCACCTGCTTTTCTAACACTTTCAAACACTGTTCAGCTTTACCTTTGCTACTGACATGCCAATATGTTTTTGTCATAATGAATTGAGATTTCCTTAATCTATGTAGAATTCTATTTATTGATAATGTACTAACTGGATGCAATACTGTAGTGAAATGCTGAGAATTCCATTCTGTATCACAATTACTGTTTTGGAATAAAGCAAATTATTATTATTATTATTAATGAGTTGTTCCCCCCACACACATACACACTTTTTATTTCTTTCTCTTTTCTAGGCGCGCATAAAAGAAAATCGTGAATTAAGAAGAGCACTTATCGATGAACGACATATGTATCTCGTGGCAATACTGGAAAGATATTTTGGAAGTGATGCAAACACAATATGCGATTGGCTGTTGGATACTAATCAACTAGAAGCTATGCAAGATTTTTTTGCTAAGGGGAAAAATAAAGCCTTATTCGTTATCCAAACTGATCTTGGCTATATGAATCCTAGATCCAGTAAGTGAATATCATTCACATTATTCAGCATACTAGATATTATTATTATTAATATTACAGTTAATATATACATGTATTATTGTTTCCTATAATTCCTAGAGGAACATAGGGCTTCAGCACGCGTCTCCATTGCGTTCGGTTCTCTGCTAGAGTCTTCACCTGGCTCCATGTCTGCCCACACGTTTTCATCTCCTCTTCACGTGACCTCCTCCAAGTCACCCTCACCCTCACACCGACCATCAACTCGCCACTTCTCTTTTGTTCGGGTTCCACTCGAGCAATGGCTTGTCTAGTGATGTCACTCACTTGATGGTCTCCTCAGAGTATGGCCAATCCACCTCCTGCTGTGTTGGTTTGCTCATTGCCAGAGATCCCACCCTGTTGCTGATCTTTCCTGGCCGGCCATCTGATCTTGAGTATTGAGCGAAGACATCTAGCTTTTAATGAAGGTCTGTTGTTTGTTTGAGGTGCTCTTTATGACGCGCTGGCCAAGTCTCTGATCCGTATAGTGAGTAGCACTGACTGACTTCACATTGGAGTTGAAAATCCGGATCTTATGTTTGATGCTGAGTGATGTCTGTTGACCTCCACACAGACTTGAGAGTAGTGAAAGCTTGTCTTACCTTCTCGATGATCCTTGCTTTGATATCCTTGTCAGTTCCGGCGACTGTAGTTGAAACGATGCTTCCCAGTTAGGTGGGTAGGTAAACGAGGTTGTTTCTTTCAGGTTTTTCCCATTTATGCTGGCTGATTGTTGTCTGTTGTTGTTGTTGTTGGCCAGGAATCTTCATCACCTCTGAACGTTTAATGCATACAATTTATAAGGTTCCAAAGCCACACCTACAAGACACGCAACATTTTCGTCTCGATCTGAGTTGATTTACACAGATACATATAAATATCTATCCGAATAGGAATCATTATCTTTTCTTAATTTATGATTTTAGCCTTCTAGACTTTATTTCTGAATAACTTCTGTTTTGCAATATATCCTCTCGCTCCATATACATATTTTTATGGATATTTCAATGTTGATTGTGATAATAATAAACAAAATTTCTCACAATCACACAATAAGGCAGCATTCATGTACACAAAACAAGGTTTTTTTGTTGCACCTGTCAAAAATCACAAAGAATTAGAAGAAGGAGAAAAAGAAAACTAAAAGCGAAAATATCTCAAAAAACCTCATTGTCATCATTAAGGTTCCGCCTGTATGACCTTATTCGAAATTCTGTGACAATTTTTTTTCTTTTTTGCTTGTTTACCCGACTCAAATCTCTGTCACACAGACAGAGAGAACTCGCTTTCAGTCTGTCAGTCAGTAAACAAAGCTGGTGTTCTTTTGTTTGCGTTTTTGTTTTACGTATTAGAATTGTCTGCGTGAAGTAAAATAACATACACACACACATTTTACCTGTCCTCTTTTTGTGAAATCAATATGTGTATCTGATAGTTTTCATATTTCGATTTTTGTGTTTTGTGGTGATATATGTGTATGTTTATTCTCAGGAATGAGGGTGAGATACTTTTGTGCACCACATATTTTGCTACTCAGCGATAACAGTTAACAGCTTTAGATGGCTGACATTAATCAATATCAATTCTTATGATAACTTTTAATGGCCAGTGCATGAATTCTAACTTCTACCAATTCCTGATTTAGCGCGACTGGCACCAACCATTGTCGTTGGTGGAACATCCATCCACACACACACGTGATGACGTCTAATTGGACCACCTCACTGGTCACGACTTCTCCCCGAGAACTGACTGACTCCAGGGAGCTCCATCCTGTAGCAAGTGGTCACTAGCGAGCATCAGATTAATTTTCTATAGTTTGGTTTGTAAGGATTAGTTATGTTTTACGAGTTGATCAACTTTGAAATTGAATTTATCAGAAGAATAGAAACGGTATCTCTACGTCGCCACGTTATGTACACCTTATCTTGCACAGAATTTACATGTTGTGCGACTTCTGACTGGCCTTCCTTCATATTGTGTTTCTTTGTATTCCTTTCACGTCTCTCATGTATCTCTCCGCAACACTGTATCATATTTGCTTTCTGTGACATCAAATGTATCCCTCTATTATTTGGCGTTTCTTTTTTCTGCTGATGAACATCTCTCTATATACTACTGATACATTCAATCAGTAGCATTCGCCATTGTATAAGTGCACATTTCCAAAACTATATGAGGCTAAATTAGTCTTATATTATAGAGCATAGAGGTTATTCTTGATATCCCAGTGTATTACCAACTGGCTGCATGGATGTTCTGTGACCAGTATTAATTTAACTCGCAATGTTTTCCCACCTATCCATGAATAAATGTGCTATTTAAATTCCAAGGGAAAATATACAAACAAACTGAGGGAGTTGCATGGGGGATCACCAATATCCCCGGTTGTAGCAGATACGTTCATGGATAGGTGGGAAAACATAGCGATTGAAACGCTTACCCCCACCCCTATCAAAAGTATGGTGGAGGTATGCAGATGACACATTCACTGAACTTAGAACACGGGATATAGATAAATAGATTTTTCGAACACATTAACTGAAAGGTGGAGGCAATTCCATTCACTTATGACGAATTGGAAAGTCAGGCAGTAAGGAAGAGGAGCTTCCAATGTTAGATTGCAACGTAAAGAGGAAAGAAGATGGGAAGTTAAACACATCAGTGCTTACAGGAAACCCACACACTCAAACAGATATCTAGACTTCCGATCATCCCATCCTATGTCAGTAAAAATAGGATTGGTGAAAGGTTTAAATGAAAACAGGGCGCAAAAACTAAGTAGTACCAAAGAAAACCTAAAACAGGAACTGATACACATAAAAGAAGCGTTGAAACTGAATAATTACCCGGATAAATTGGTCAGGAAATATGTAAGGAAATGTAAAAATAAAATAAATAATGATAGTAGCGATAGTGATAATAACAATAATAATGATAATGATAATAGTGATAATAGTAATAATATTAATGATGACACCAGCGATAAAGAATCTAAATCATCAGTAGTAATTCCATACAAGGAAGGAACCTCGGAAGCCTTACGCAGAATTCTTAACAAGGCAGGAATGAATAAAAGTGGCTCGCATTCAAACCATCCACAAGCTCAATTACAAACAAGCTTTGTCGGTTAAAGGACCATTCCTGTGGAGCGTGTTTGCGATGATTGTCAGGTCAAATACATAGGTGGAAGTAGTAGAACAGGTGCAGTCAGACTAGCCGAGCATAAAAACCTAGCAGCAAAAGCTAGATTGGTTGACCCGAATAAGATAAGAAATCTAGAGAATAAGTTGGCAGCTATCGCAAGCACTACATGCAATCACACACAACCATACAATAGGCTGGATGGGATAAGATGGCAGTATTAAAATTTAATGTCACAGAGTGGAGGGAGGGATTGATAACAGAAGCTTTGTTTATCGAATCAAGTACAAATACATGTAATAGGAATAATTCATCACCCGTCCAGATAGATATCTTCAAAATTCTACTACCCCAATGACGACAAATAGGAGGAGACAAGGAAACTATAAAACTCAAGTTTTGAAGTCGTGTGATTACAATTGATACGATTATGAACAATAATGAATTGTGTTCGAAACCTCGTCATCCAGTAAATACTAATACTGTTTCACTGTGTGATATATCTAATAAACAAACTAATATGGAAAGACGAATATGAAGTTTATTGGAAAGATTTGGTGGGATACGATGAATTACTTTGTAAGCTCTCGTTTTCTCTACTACATGACCGCTATCAATTAAATGTGACAAAGTTGAGCTACGGATTGCTTTTGTCTGTCCTTTGCCGAGCCGCGATGTGAGATATCCAGTAACACGTTGGCTAAGCTGTCTAGTAGTACGTCCAACTCTAATTTACATATATATATATATATAACATTTTAACCAATGATGGTGATTTTGTGGATCAAATAATAGTAATAATGTGGTAAATGTTTTGAACGTCGTTACAGGGAAAATACATTATTAAATGTATCTACAAAAACAATTTTAACATACTTGCACAAAGTTCATTTTAAATAAAAATCAGTCGATCGAACAATATGTGCAAACACTAATAATATGTACATATATATGGAATATTAAACACTTTTTCGAACAATAATAATCATAACATGGTATCCTTCTCATGTTAACTCCAACTGTATATGCAAATTTACATGTATCTGCGGAAGCAGTTACATTGGAAGAACAGAAAGAAAGGAAGGCATATCTACGATTTTCTGAACATGTACCGAAAAGCTTATGTCTACAGCTGAGAACAAACGCTTTAAACAGTGCCATCACCAGGCATCTCTTCTTGACACGGATCGGTCATGAGGTGGACGTCGAAAAGTCGTTCAAAATTATCAATAGGCAAAAGAGCTCAATTCTCCTCAAGTTTGCTGAAGCCATTCCCATCAAGCGCCTGAAACCTGATTTATGCGTTCAGAAAGAAGCGGTTGTCAGTCTTTCTTTGCCCTGCCTGGTAACTGGATATTTTCATCTCTCTTTCATCTGAATGCGTAATGCTGAAAGTTTCCATTGTGTATGATTATTATTGTTCGGAATAGTGTTTAATATTGCATATATATATATAATTACTGTTTACACATATTGATCGATTGATTTTTGCTCAAAATGAACTCTATGCAAGTATGTTAAAATTGTTTTTGTAGATATACTACTTAATAATGACTGTTGCCTGTAAGCAGCTGACGAGAAGGCAACGAAATAAACAGTGATGGTACCACTCACTTTATTCTGCTGAAACCGTAGTTCTTGCTTCGTTCAAATTCACTGAGGGGAATAAATGTATGAAATCCGTTTTTTACTTAACCTTTTTATCCATACTGCATGAATTGGAGGCAGCTATAGGTCAGTTTAAAGGTGTCCTACAAAGCCATTCTGTGTTTCAAAGTTTGATCTTCTGTTCTGAAAATTCATTAACTAACTTTATTTCTCACCAGCAGTATTAA